ATGAGCTGGCGGAGATTCGCAGTGTTGCTTTACGTGTGTGACGGTACGAGTCGTCACTTCGATGTCAGGATAGACTGAAAGAATGTCTGTGCATGTGCGATGTCTTCTGCTGCTGACTGTCTGGTCTGATACTTACTGTTCTGTCTGGTGCTCTCCTCTACTACTCTCGTCTCGGTCTACTGACTAACTCATCTGCTCATCTCTCATCCTATCGTGCGTACAGAGTACTGTCTCGACGTAACTCTCTACTGCCATCTCTTGCGCTGATCAGATGCGCGTTGAGTAGAGCGAAGAGAGTCGAGAGAAGAGAGAGAACTCGACCAGATTTCCGGAAGGATTGGAATTTGAGGACTCTTTCGGCCATTGAGAGAATAGAGCCGATGTACGTCAGTATCAAAACTTTTTTTTCCCTCGAAGCGCGATGATACTAATAGAATGTGTATGAACCTGCGATTTTGGTGTGCGACGACGTGACCGATGGCAACCGTTATATTTCCCAATAAAGGATATGAGGAATAGAATAAACCTTAGAGCAGACGAGAAAGACAGAGAGAGAGAGAGGGAGATGAGGAGAACAATTACACCCACTTCCAGCCACAGCTTCCTGTGCTTGGCCACACGTCACACCCACCAGGATTCGTTAAGAAAAAAAAAAAAAAAAAAAAAAAAAAAAAAAAAAAAAATGAAGAAAATTGAAAAGATTGCAGAAGATGCAGAACGAAGGAAAAAAGAAGAAGATGAAAAAATTAAAAGAATCAGAACGAAAGCAGGAAGAAGAAGAAAGAGAAGAAGGAAAGAACAGAACGAAAAAGGGAAAAGGAAGCAGAAGCGAAGAAGAAGGAAAGTGACAAAGAAGAGAAAAAGGAAGACAAAGCGAAACGAAAACCAAGAGACAAAAGAACTCGCGGAAGAAAACAAGAACAGAGAAAAAAAACGTAAAAAAGAAGAAAAAAAAAGGAGAATCAGATACCGGGAGAAGAAAACAAGAATTAAGAGAGAGAGAGAGAATGAGAGAGAGACAACGACCGAGAGGGCAGAAAGAACGTGCGAGAGAGAGAGAGAGAGAGAGAGAGAGAGAGAGAGAGAGAGAGAGAGAGAAGAGAGTAGAGAGAAAAGAGAGAGAATGAGAGTAAAGAAAGAAAGAGAGAGAAAAGAGAGAGAGAGAGAAGAAAACACCAATCATAAGAAAATAATCATCCAATGGGTTTCCTCGACCCTTCGATCTTATCACACCCGACCTCTCACACCGCCCTATCTATCTACCATCTACCCCCCCCCCTCCGCCCCCCCCGACCCCCCCCCCCCCCCGACCCCCCAGTCCTCCCCTCCTTCGCCCGGGATAGCGACGAGTGAGTGGCCCTTATTAACACCCCCGTCGGTCTCGGTCGGTCCGTCGGGGGTGAACTACGAAGACCAGAAGATGCGACAGGCAGATAGCGGCCGACGGTGATGGATGGCGCGGGGTGGGGTGGGGGGGGTGGTGGTGGGTGGGTGGGGGGGGGGTTTACTCGTCGCGGTAAGGATAATGATGATGATGATGATTGTGATGATGGATGATGCTAGGAGTAAAGTAGTAGTTGTAGTAGTAGTAGTTGTAGTAGTAGTAGTAGTAGTAGTAGTAGCAGCAGTGGCAGTAGTAGTTGTTGTTGCAGTAGTTGTAGTAGTAGTAGTAGCATTGGTAGTAAAAGTAATACTACTAATACTAAAGTCAACAGGAATGGCATAATTAGTACCAATAATAAAAAACAAAAACAACAACAATAATAATAATAACATAATAATGCGAACGACAACAGTAAAAACAACAATAATAACACTCATACAATGAAAAAAAATGATAAAAGACAATAATAATGATGCGAACGAAGGGGAGAGCCAAATCAAATAATAAACATAATAATAACGACTGCAACTCCGCGATACCAGTGGCAACAGAAACGAAAACCGGACTTCCGACCTACGACCTGGCTTTCTATAGACTGTATACGTGATGATCGTGTGCGTGTGTGGGTGCATGTGCGTGTGTGTACTTATGTTTATAAATGTACACATATGTATATATACATGTATATATGTATGCGTGTGTGTGTGTGTGTGTGTGGTGTGTGTGTGTGGTGTGTGTGTGTGTGTGTGTGTGTGTGTGTGTGTGTGTGTGTGCGTTTGTGAATTAGATACTCGTAAATAAAACGTACAACGTTATAATGCACAATCAGTCAAGATAATGACAATATCAAGCAAAACCATATTCTTTCTTCATCTGTCTCGGCATAAGTTCCCAATTGCTAATACGCACATGCGAACATACACGAATAAATATGATAATACGACAGGACACGTATACACACATAAACATGGATACGTTAAACAATAGCAACAGCAATGCCGAAAAAGGAAGACACAGATTCAAATAAAGGATTCAGAACAAATGAAAATAGACGCATGGACGTAAATATGTACAATAATTTCATATCAACGAACAAGCGCAGGTAAAGACACAGGCATAGACACACACACACAAACACAAACTTTGAAACACTATAGCGCTGGCCGGCAGATGAGTGTAATCAAACAATCACTTAACAACCCATTACTGGAACTTCATCTTCTCTGTCAGATAACGCAATATATAAAAAACAACAACAAAAAAACAATAATAATAATCATGAAATCAATTCATGTCAAGTGTTCTTAACCTAGAGTTCAATGTTATTTTTAAAGATTGTTTTCTTTAAATTTTAATAAGATCCTGTATTTGATGTATGCACAAGGCATTCACATCTCAGTAAATTTTAATACATTAAACACAAGCAAAT